AAAAGCAACGGAGATAATTCGGGAGGGGGTATGTTTTGAATGCTTCGGGATTCGTTGATTTCTGGATTTTCGAAAAAGGCTTTCAATACTTTCATGTCATTCCACGTTTTCAGTAGAGTGTTCTTATTTGATTGTTGTTCAATGAATGACCCAATTTCCGTTTGTTGGACCGGAACAAACCTTTGAGTTTGGTTGGGTGTCGTCTGCTTTTGTGGTAGCGAGAACGACTGAGTTATAGTCTGGGGTATTGGCTCTAACCGATCACCTGGCAGGTCAACCTCAATATCACTTCCCTCGATTAAAACTCTATAAAATGTTGCAAATCCCATTGGAACAAGTTCTTGTACTGTGCCCCTACCAATGTTTACGTCAGCCATGTTGTAGTAGGCCTATACTATAGTAGTAGTACATGTAGTAGTAGTGCGTAGGAATACGACCTAGTTCCCACGGTGTCGCGCGCTCATTTGCATCTTTATTGCACACGTTCAATATCAATTTTATTGCACCCCTTTATTGCACTGCAGAAGCCTTATATTATATAATAAATGTATATATAGAACTTTACGTGTTTATGATCTAACCCGAGAGGATGTAGGGGAAATGTGTGTCATCTTATATTTGTATATATAGAACTTTACGTGATTATGATCTAACCCGTGAGGATGTAGGGGAAATGTGTGTCATCTTATATTTGTATATATATGATAGGACTTTGTGACTTAAATTATTGAATTATATTTCTTTGTGATATTGACCTTCAACCTCTGACCTCCAAAATATTTTACTTCATTATATCAACTGTTTTGAGGTCGCTCCATTCAACAGGATTTTGATGAAATGTGCTTCAGTTAATACCATCTATCATATTGAACAAAAATGAGTTTGGGATTCTTTTATTATTTTTTATTACTTTATACAGTGTATAAGATTTCACCATGTTACCAAAACTTTGGAAACATCCTACACTTCTCAATTTGTTCACACGATAGATGCAGTGTGATGCTCTGAGGCCCTTTCACGTTCACGTACGTCATGGCATATCTCATTCAAGATATTTTATTGATTTAAACAAAGGGTTAGACTACATCCATAGCCTATTTAAATCATCACCCACTTTGATTACAGCAATGGCCAATGCAATATATACGTGTACATGTATATAGTTTATACAGTGTTTGAGAATGACAGGCAATAGCGTGAGAGTATCTAAACTAAAACGGTATCCAAAATAATCATACATCTGATGCAACATTTTTACTTTGCAATGTATGTATTCTAAATATAAATTTATAAAGTTGTATGCAAATGGGGCGATTTGTTATCTAACTATCTCTTGATTGTTGTTAATAAATTCAATCGAAAACTTAAAAAAAAAAGTAAAACAAGCAAACAAAATAAGGGAAACGGTACATTGTTACATTTCGAAACATGGAAAACTTTTTTCTAATAGTTATGTAAATGAATAAATGATAAAAAAATATCAGAAAGTTTCAAACCATGTTGGAGGTAAAGAAAACTATGATAAATGTTGTCAGTTAACAAACCTGTCTGTCAAGATTACACAAAATCACCTAAACGGACACATTGTGTTGAAAATTCGGGGAAAATAATTGACCAATTGTCCCTTTACTCTACATTCATCATTGTTTGGTCCATTGCATTTGACGTCACAATGGTCATCAGATAGCACGTTATAGCGTCATTACGCTGCTGAAAGGAAACAGTGACCTCTAACCAGATAAACGTGTTACATGTGAGATAGTGTTCACTTATATATCAAATATAACCTTTGTTGAGACAAATACAACCAGGTTATACTAAAGACATAGGCCCAGCGTTGATTAAAAACATCATACCGACAAAACAGGATCATGAGCGAAATATAACATTAAGTTCAAGCATGTCCAGAAACAAATTATGCTGTTCATATATACACGGATGTATATAGATTGTAGAAAAAATAGGACTAGCTTGTGGAAAAATATATTAACAAACATTAGTGTCAGCTGACTGTTCTGTTTATTTGACTGATAGCGTTTTGTGATGAAATTTGCGTTTTAGTGTAACGTTTTGGGCTCTATATCAGGGTAATGCGATATGAACACTCGTAACGTACAGATTCGATACTTTAAGGCTATGCATTACTACACACCTACAATGTGTATGTGTGTGACACCGCGCTATTTATAGACTGAAAGAAATTCTCCGAATCGCGTCTGCACTTGGTTATCTGGATATCAAGGCTGATACCGTGGAACAAGATTAAACAAGCGGCCGTGTCCGATCACAATCTACAGAGAACAACATGCTATAATCTCTGTAATTAGAAAACGACATTAAGGTAAGCAAAATTGTCTTTAATTACTGATAGTGCAGTACCTGTACGTGTATGGTACTGTGTAAACGAATCAATGTTTACAATATAAACCGGATTGAAATGATGTGTTTGGAATTACATGTTCCTCGACAGCTATGTTTGTACTTATCTGATCATTTAACTGCATTTGCTATAAAATATGTTTCGTAAATGTTATGGAAACAATACTGTTGAAAAAGAATGACTTTGAATGTTAATCAACTTCCTTGATGCAAACAGCCATCATGTGATATGTGTCGCTGTATATGAGTTCAAGAAAACACATATGTGAGTGTGTTACGTGTCTTTAATCCTTGTGCAAATTTCAAGACTGCTTGATTTGAAAATGTGAAATAACAATTCTATGCAGAAATGTTTATCAGACATCGATATTAAACAGCCTACTTTCGGTTTAGGCTTTCACAGTACGTTATAGATTTCGAAAGTAGTAAGGGAGCTAACTCGAATGCAACGTTAAGAAGTGGAGAACTTAAGGATCCCTGTACCGTTGCTTTGTGATCCCTAAATACAGTAACCTATCCGTTTAAAAGTAACTGTAGGCTGGGACACTTCTGTTAACAAGATAGCTCCTCCTTTGGTTATAGCGATAATTCCGCAATCCGCAAAGGATGGTTTTCTTTTTTTTATAAATGATTTAGCTACGGTGTTTGGCAGTGGAACGGGGGTGGGGGGTGGGGGGAGGTCCTTAATAACGATCGTCAGGTTGTTACAATTTATTATATGCTGCTATTCGACCTCTACATTCCTGAGTGTCATTAACTTCGATTTTCGTTGATTTGTACAATGCTTCCACTCTCATTTTGTCTCATAGGTGGACAGATTCGACAAGCCACCGTTTGACGGGAGGACAGGGAAATATGGATGAGTAAGGGTGATATTTTCATATTTAAAAGGAAATATTAATATTCACACCATATCCATTTGTTCAAATGATAATGATAAATAAACAGCAATAAATTAAGCCCTTTGTATGTCATTTATATTATTTTCTATATGTCGTGTCGTTGTTGTTGTTAGTCAACCACCCGCTATACATCCACAAGAGGCTGAAGTTCCTATACCTGTGGCGCACGAGGCAGCAAGTGACGGGGGATATGCCGACACCCCTGGTCACTTAAAGTAAGATGGACATTAATGATCAGTAACATGTAACATTAAATAAATAGAGAAAGAAGTCATACCCCGCTGGAACTAACAATTGTTTGTGTATACTTGTTTGTATATACTTGTTTGTGTATACTTGTTTGTGTTTGCTTGTTTGTGTATACTTGTTTGTGTATGTTTGTCTGTGTATACTTGTTTGTGTATGTTTATTTGTGTATACTTGTTTGTGTATGTTTATTTGTGTATACTTGTTTGTGTATGTTTATTTGTGTATACTTGTTTGTGTATACTTGTTTGCGTTACATGGTTGTGTATACTTGTTTGTGTATACTTGTTTGCGTTACATGGTTGTGTATACTTGTTTGTGTATACTTGTTTGCGTTACATGGTTGTGTATACTTGTTTGTGTATACTTGTTTGTGTATACATGTTTGTGTATGCTTGTTTGTGTATACTTATTTGTGTATGCTTGTTTGTGTATACATGTTTGTGTATACTTGTTTGTGTATGTTTGTTTGTGTATACTTGTTTGTGTATACTTGTTTGCGTTACATGTTTGTGTATACTTGTTTGTGTATACTTGTTTGTGTATGTTTGTTTGTGTATTCTTGTTTGTGTATACATGTTTGTGTATGCATGTTTGTGTATACTTGTTTGTGTATAGTTGTTTGTGTATGTTTGTTTGTGTATACTTGTTTGTGTATGTTTGTGTATTCTTGTTTGTGTATGTTTGTTTGTGTATGCTTGTTTGTGTATACTTGTTTGTGTATACATGTTTGTGTATACATGTTTTTGTATGCTTGTTTGTGTATACTTGTTTGTGTTTGCTTGTTTGTGTATACTTGTTTGTGTATACATGTTTGTGTATGCTTGTTTTTGTATACTTGTTTGTGTATGTTTGTTTGTGTATGTTTGTTTGTGTATACTTGTTTGTGTATACTTGTTTGTGTATACATGTTTGTGTATACTTGTTTGTGTATACGTGTTTCTGTATGTTTGTTTGTGTATACATGTTTGTGTATGCTTGTTTGTGTATACTTGTTTGTGTATGTTTGTTTGTGTATACTTGTTTGTGTATGCTTGTTTGTGTATACATGTTTGTGTATGCTTGTTTGTGTATACTTGTTTGTGTATGTTTGTTTGTGTATACTTGTTTGTGTATACTTGTTTGTGTATACTTTTTTGTGTATACTTGTTTGTGTATACATGTTTGTGTATACATGTTTGTGTATACTTGTTTGTGTATGCTTGTTTGTGTATACATGTTTGTGTATACATGTTTGTGTATTCTTGTTTGTGTATGCTTGTTTGTGTATCCTTGTTTGTGTATACATGTTTGTGTATGCATGTTTGTGTATACTTGTTTGTGTATACTTTTTTGGTATACTTGTTTGTGTATACATGTTTGTGTGTTTGTTTGTGTATACTTGTTTGTGTATACATGTTTGTGTATACTTGTTTGTAAGACGTCCAAGTTAAATATGCACACATACGTCAAAAAGTGTACATGTACAGCCACATTACCACGCATTCAAATCAATCGACTGAGCATTCAAGTAATTGTCAAGGCTTAAATATACGGACACATTAAGAGTAATCATGGGTACAAAGGTTCGGACTTGTATTGAAATCGCAGCACTTATATATGTACACACGACATATCATAAAGTTGGCAAAGTCGTCAGTTTAGCTTATTTCGTCATAGGTTTGTATGTATCCACTGTTGAGAGATTTTTGCATTCTTATGCATATATAACTCACCTGGAGATGAAATATAAAATTGAATATAGAATTAAAAAAACAATAAGTTCAAGGGCAGGTATCAGCAATTAAGATGTTAATGGTATATTAGATGTCAATATTATATGTTATAAGTTGTTGTTGTTGTTATTGTTGTTGTTGTTGTTGTTGTTGTTGTTGTTGTTGTTGTTGTTGCTTGGTTAGGATTAACATAATCGTTTTCAAAAACATTTTCTTGAAGTTTTACCAACTAATGATATGCATATGCCATTTTCAATGTTTTAGACCACGGGAGCCTGTTTATCGTGACAACATCCGGCCATCCCCTTCGCCGGACAACGATCATAGCGAACTACCCGCTATACATCAACCCCATGCTGAAGTTCGTATACCTGTGGCGCAAAAGAAAGCAAGTGACAAATATGGGGTATATGCCGACATCCCTGGTCACATGAAGTAAGAAGGACATTACTGATCGGTAACATATGATATTATGTTATTAGAGAAAGAAGCCATAACCTGGTGGAACTAAAAATTGTTTGTGTATGCTTGTTTGTAAGACGTCCAAGTTAAATATGTACACATACGTCAAAAAGTGTACATGTACGATTCAGCCACATTACCACGCATTCAAATCAATCGACTGAGCATTAAATTAATTGCCAAGGTTCAAATATACGGACACATTAAGAGCAATCATGGGTACAAAGGTTCGGACTTGTATTGAAATCGCAGCTCTTATATATGTACACACGACATATCATAAAGTTGGCAAAGTCGTCAGTTTAGCTTATTTCGTCATAAGTTGTTTTTTTCTTATGCATATAACTCACCTGGAGATGAAATATAAAATTGTACTTTTTAATGTGCATGAGATGATGATAAATGACATTCGTTTTGAGTCATAGACTTAAGTCCTATGTAAGAAAACAATTGCGTTTGGATAATTGAAATAACTGGGTTACCTCGGATTTATATGACCAGTTGTTATTTTAACTTATTTGTACTAGAACTAATGATCTTTAGACTTAAATAAGGAAAAAAATCCAAAAAATCACACAGTTTTAACCTTTTGTCAGTGTAAACAAGCGAAGCGTTTGTTAATTAGCTTAGATTAGTTAACTATGTGCGCTCACATGTGCTTATCTCATTATTTCCAAATACACCCATGCTTAAATGTACCGAAATAATTTTCGTCACCTGTGACATCAACTTGTTGGTGAAATGAAAACAAAGCGTCACTTGGCAAATTAAAACTTTTGGAATAAGTTCACGTGGATAAGAGACCCTGAAGTATTCACGTATGTACAATTACATTTATATATTATAAAATTGATAAAACTAACAGGTGTTGGTATATTATTGTGAAATATATATTTCGGGTGTCTGAAAAATGATTAACTCGGCCTCCGTTATTATTTTGTATCTAATATTTTCTCACCTTCGTTACATATTCCACCATAATTCAAGCACAAATAACGATTGTGTCTTAATTTTGTCCAAGTCATTTAATCAATAAATCTTAATCTTTACTCGACAGATTCCGACTTGACAGAGGAAAACGAAGGTCGGACTTAGAATTCAAATCGGTCTTCGTCTTTAAACATGACGATAACCGATCTGTAGATGTTCCAAGGTGATTTTTGTTTATGTATTTTGTCTACGAAAAACTCGATGCACAGTGTATTACTTCTAGTTTCATGTTTTTTAGTATTTAATTCATTTTGTAAAAAGCTTAAAGTTGAAATTTTATAAAAGATATATATATAATGACATTTAACGTTAACTTTCCTTTCATTAGCAAATCTAGTCTCCCTGCTATAATATCCAGGTCTCACAATTGATTCGCTATTTCAGATATCGCTTTTAAATGTTCCATTGAGCAGCAAGTGAAATGTACAAAACTTAATCAACAACAGTGCTCCTAGTGTAAACATGCAGGTGGAAATGTTTAAATTAAATTGTTCGAACCCTGTACCCCAGTCTGTTACATCGCTCTAACCAAATTAGCTACAGGGCAACGGAAGTTCTTTTGCCCGCTGGGATCTGAGAATTTGTTACAGCTATATATTGATTGGACCTAAGCCAAGGTATTTTGAGCAATTTTACATATTTAAGGGGTTCAGGTTAATTTTCGGTAAAAATGCCACCCAAATGTGAGAATATACGAGAAGGGAGGAAAACTCTCTTTCTTGCATCAAAAGCCATATTTCTAGTTGATGTATAAACATATGCTTAGTACCGTTGGAAAACTGGTTAATTTTTTTATTTTAAATCATATTTTGAAACTACATTCTGTATTAAGTATTTTGACTACAGTGGACAGAGATCCTTAACGAGAGACGCCATAACATGCTCATATATTGCGGACAACTCTCACACATCTAGAGCATAATCTGAGATAATGATGTCTTATTGTTTTGTCTCCCCAAATTCTGGTAATTGAATATTCATTGCTAGTTAATATGTTGTTGTATATTCTTTCTATTTTAATTTTCAGGGTTTTGCGTCTCGTATGTGCATATCGCGTTGGCCTACAAATTGTTAGACAGCAGTTGCAAATTGTGGATAGTTCAAGGTGAGTACATATCTATTGTACAAAAATCAGCACACAAATTTGGCGAAGGTACAGTATCATTATTATCCGTCAATGATAAATGTTCTTTTCTCAAGCTTTACTGAACTTTACGCTGGCATTATCATTTTTTATAGTGGGGTCCCGATGGAGACGGATGCATCAGAAACAGAGCCATCCGAACTCTTCGATGATAATGCCAGTGATGCGGATTATATATGGTGCGGCATGACTTCAAAGGAATATCAGGAGAGACTAAACTCAGCAAAGGAAACTGCAAAGATTTACAGCTGGATGGAGTGAGCTATCTTTAAAATGCTGTGGATGTATTTTCAAATTGAGGGGTGTCATTATGGCCTATTTGGAAGCCTAAAGCGTGACGAAAATCATTGGGCTTAGATTAAAAATAACTGTACGGATATTGAGATATAACAAATGAATTGATTGAAGCAATAGTAGAAAATGCCAAAAGTACACAATACTAACGATGTCATTCAATCTAAAAGCATGGTTTCACCATCACAAATTTATGAATTACACTACTTTATACATCAAACATTTAACATTCGCATAAGTACTTTCGTGAAGCAAAAAGGAAAGGAGAAAATGGAAAGAAAGATGCATATAAAATACAAGACGGTTTTAGCATACCTTGTGTTAAATAAACTTATCTATATTTTTCCACCAAACAAATCAATAATCCCTTTGGGCAGTCACACATCCAAAACATGCATATTTACGTTCCTGCGATGTTACGTAATTATGTAAACAATCCAGAAATTTACCGTAAACAATTGTATATAGACACTTGCATTATTTTATGTTTTTTTTGTATTAAGGATACAAGTTTTATCCATATAATGATTTACCGATTTTTTCCTTCATTTGAACATTTGATCTTTCAATAAACTTCGCTCGCGGAATAGCATATATGTTTAACATCTCCTAATCCGAAGCAACAGAATGAACAGCCTCTTTTAATTTTCAAATAGTTGAATATCATAAGCGAAAAGAAAACATATTCAAAATTATGTGAATACCACTTTAAAAAAGAAGAAGAATGCTTATGCAAGTTTATATATAAAACCATGATAATGGAGGGACATTATTTTTCTTCCAGAGTAATGGAGGGCTGAAAGCCTTTATATACTAGGGACATTAGAAAATGGTGTAGTTTGTGTGCCGGGATCCGAACTTCTTGTGTTGGACTGTCTTTTACCAGTGTTACATATAAATGCATCAATTACATATAGGATAAGTCAAAGCGTTATTTACAGTATTTGTAGGTGATACGCGATTTCAATTTTTTTTTGGTCCCTGGTTTTAGAAATGTTCGCTGTTATAACGGAGATATTTATTTTGCATGAGTTTAAGGGTTAACAAAACTAGCCATGATACATGTTCGTTTTCATTCACAGGATTTACGAACAGTTCATTGGCGAATGTTGTAATGAAGAGGAAAGTTTAGCAAAAACAGTGCAACAACTGCGAAACGACCCTGACGGAGATGTGAAATATTTCTGTAGAGATAACTTGATAACGTAAGTCACTATATAATCGGTCAGGGTTGCTATTGTTTTAAATGTTATATTCTATCCTGAAACTGAGTTCTAAATCAAAGTATTTAAGGTTTAGAGAACCACTCTCTTTATTAAAACAACAAAAGTGTTTTACACAGTGCTTATTTTCCTTTCTGTAAGGAACATGAAGAAATCAAAACGAGTTTTATCCTTTGTGTAGTTACATGTATTCATCGACTTTGCGGCCCATAATTTGGACAATCGTTTTGACACATTATATGTGTAATTCCTGGATGGCTACATTAGTAAAGTGTAGATTGTACAATGCAGTGCAATTTTAGGGATTATGTAGCATTTCTTTTACCTCAGAACGACTTTATGGTTCCGGGTGACGGAACGTCGGTCAGTTACACTGTACTTTCATGACTTCGTTTTTGCTACTAGTATTAATGAATGCATATTAGTATTCAGTGGACTGAGTCCCAATCCGAGGGGGCCGTTGTTGTATGACCACAGATATCGAATGGTCATTAGTTGACACAGTTGTTGTATGACCAAATAATTTATCATTCACACAAAAACATATATTATGAAATGGGGCAGATCAGAGAGAGACAATTGCCTTTTGTTAAGCATTATTTTACCAATACACAATACACCCTATANCCCCCCCCCCCCCCCCCCCCTCATATTAAACTAAAAGGACGTTAAATAACGATAATTTGATTGACTCAGTCGATAGTATTCGACCTTCTGAACTTTAAATCGAAGATATAACTCGCTAACCTCGACCTTTACATGACCAACAGGAACAGCTTACTTCTTAAATGAACGTCAAGTATGACGATTTTTTTCTTCTGATTACTAACGTTCCCTTTCCTGACAGTAACTTCCCCCAAATGGTGTTTACACAGTGCAGTTGATTCGATATTTAAGGTTTTTTTCCGAACATAATAATCTCTTTGAGGAACATCCATTGCTGACGGTAAAATCTATAACTTTGTCTAAACTATGGACAAGTTTAATTGTCGCAATTAATATCTCACTAAAAAGTATATTAATTTCCTTCTTGATATGAAGGTGTTGCCTTAATTATGGCCATTAGTCTACCTTGTGGTTTCGTTGCCACGGCCATGGTTTGCACTTTTAGGACATAGCATTACTTGACCTAGATTTGCATGCTGAGTAATGTTGCATAAGCATACGACCGTTCCAGAAATCTTGTTTTTTTCAAGCTTGTGCATTATGACGGTTTCAATGTGAAAAGAAGAGGTGTCAATTTGGCTGTCATAAATAAGTTTTTGTTTTTTTGGCGAATTCCGTGAAATGAGGGGGTAAATTGTGGTACTTCAATCACGAATGGCCTTTTTTGGACAAAACCATATTTTTTTCTTTTTTTTTCTTCATAACTTTGATGTATTGTGTAACACTAAAGATGCAATTTATAACACGACTGTACAAAAATACATTACTTAGCACATAGTAAGTCACACTGACTTTGTTATATACAATTATGCCAGCGATCAATGCAACTCAATAATCTTACCGAATTGTATGTGCATGTATCTAAATGAAATCTAAAGAAATGGGTGTCGAAGTCAACGTGAGGGTGTTACTTTTTTATTCATAGTTACTGTTTTTATGACAAAAAATGTCAGACAACAAGTTCTTCGGTTATCTTTTTTTTTTGCAGCTTTAGTGTTACACAATATATCAAATTATGAAAAAAGTCCTATTGGTAACCCTATTACCCCCTTATAATGTAAGAATGGTCTCCTTTCCATTCCTTTGTTGATATTTTGTAATAATTATACCTAATTTGGCATTTTACCACCTTGAAGTGTTCATGTATTCAGAAGTTGTTTTCATTGATACAGATTTCACATTAAGTTGATTGTCTACAGGGTACACTAGGGCAAATTTGAGATCGACCTTTTTGCTGCAGAGATAACCGGTCACGTGACAGACCTTAAGTTAAAATGTCCTTATGATGTTTATTAATACCGGTGGCGATGTATATCGACTAAGGGATACTGCATAAGACTTGAACAGAGTAGGAAATGGTGAATTGAAGAACCGATAGTGATTGTTGTGTATTTTTAAAAATCCCCATCAGGGGTCACTCAGTTCAAAACCTGTAATATTGGTGGTAGCTTTCAACCTTTCGTGGGGTTCAGAATGTTTACTCGAGATAGATCTCATACCCACGGAGACTGAGGGACGGGACCAACAGATGTTGCTGAGTGCAAAACCTTTGAAAGACTTCTATGTAAAACTTACAAGATGATTTTTATCAGCATTTCTAAACTGCCCCTAATCGGGCTCGTATGGGTTCACTTAGTGCAATATTTAATACACTTAGTAATCATATTTTTGATTTTTTCTCCGAGAAACTATTTGTCAGATTTTTATGAAACCTTTTTTTACAAAAGAAACCTTCAAGGGGCCTGAGTGGTGGAGCCAAAAGGGGTTAGATTGTCGAAAATGTCATCAATATTCTTCCTCAGACCTAGATATGTTAGAACAAAGTTCTCTTCGTGGATGGAAAGGGCCCAAAGTGCTTTAACGAAAGTTTAAATTTCATTACCCCCGGTTCCCGTTCCCCTTTTTTATATACGGATTTACATTCTTGGGTACATTTTGTTGAAATTCAATTTGAAATAATTCCAACTTAGTTGTAATTATCACCATATGATTGCAGTTTGATAATTACCCTTTGGGGGATTCATGTTACTTTTTTGTAGCATTTTTATCATTTTACTGATATCTTCATAAACATGTTTGTCACTCCCAAAACTAATTTTGAAAAAGCCAATCCAAAGTCGGAAAGACGTTTATTTTTAATTTTCATTAATACTTTTGTTTGATCACCGGGTCCAAATGACCAAGGTGAGCTTTTGCCAAACCGTGGCGTCCGTACATGTACGTCAACGACTTCTCCTTCTTAACCACTAATTGGAATTTGAATTGATACGTTTGGAAGCATCCCTAGGTGGAGGGGATTTAATATTGTAGAAAGGGGTGGGCTGACACTCAGGGGACTGTGGGGCAGGGCCGAAAAAGGGTAATTTGGCTATTTTACTTAAAGCGACTTCCTCTCTGGAACTAAGCGAAAGATATCAATTTTTTGTTGTTAAAAGCATTCCTTGGTGGTTGGGATCAACGATTGTATAAATGGACAGGCTGAACCCCAGGGCTAAGGGTTGGGGCCAGAATAGTATACAATTTGAAAATGGTTGAGATCTCTACCCCCAAAACTAAATTACGATTGCCAGGCAGAAAGAGACGAGTCGAGTTTCTGAGTCACAACTTGGAAACAGTTGCGATCGCCACCCTATAACCATATATACAATTGCTGGACATGAGGAATCTAATACAGATAGTCTAGAAAGATTGCCCTTTGGGTCTGGCCCTATTCCCTGGGATCTTATTTGGAGAATATTTTGCCAAGATAACTTAGATATCTAAGTGAGCGATACAAGTCCTATGGGCCTCTTGTTCTTTGTCACAGCACAATAAAAAAACAAATGTATTTTAACTCGAGTAACCTTTAAGGCCCATGTGCTCATTGTTTAATATTATAGACACACCAAAGACATGATAAAAAGATGGAAACTGTTGAATGCAGTGGCAATGCAACTACACAGTGAGATGGAGACCTTGAACAGGTATGGTAAAAAGTATGAAAATTATGTTTAAAATGTTAACACAATATAAACTGTTATGTAACTATTCATGTAAGTACTAATGTACATGTATTGAAGCGTTTTAATGGTCTGACATTTCAGTTTGTGGCACTTGAGCAGCATGACTCTCTGCGATCCCAACATAATTAATTTTATTGGCTGTATACTGTAGTCGGATATCATGCCCCACTTAATGCAGAATTATCCCCTCCTTTTGGTCGTTGTTAAAGCTAAAGTTTGTCCGGAGTATAAGTTCAGCAAACCTGCAGAACGTATGTACCTTGTGAACGCAGAGTGTCACGTACCTTAAAGCGATATATCGGCCCTTTATATACATAGTAGAGGTTCTTTGTTTATTTGTTTATTTTTTTTTTAATTTTTACGTTCTTCAAACTTAAGCACTTATACATTTTAGAAGGTTATCTTGCTTTCTCTTAATACAGAGTTATGTTTTATTAGTAGTAGTATTTTGTACCAACGTCTTTTTTGGAACATAGCATCTTTCCCATTTCATCTATTTTCACTTACATTAGCCTGAATATCTATCCTGATAAGACAGAGTGTTGCGTACCAAAAGTGTTCACCAAACTCATTATTGTAATGCTTTCGGAAATGGGAGTGTAGCGTAATTAAATACGGAATGCAGTCTTACCTTATACAGGGTATTTACCCTTTTTGAAATGTATGATGCCAATGTTTGTCTCGAGGTTAGATTCCGTACGAAATTCACCTTCATTTTCGATTTTAGCTACTTTCACCAAGCTTATTTCGCTTATGAACCAAGGAAACTGAAAGTGTCAAGTACTGAAGTTTGAACTGGTGCTCCGTTATATACAGGAATATATATGATTCCTGGTGCCCGATTACTCAAGAACTTTGACGGAAAACCCGAACAGTTTCCCAGTTGAAAAATAGTCACGTACAGAGGAAAAAAATATTATAAACAAATAAAAGCTGCATCAAGTACATGTATGAAGGGCGTGTATTTTTGCGCCCTTGAACTTGATAAATAGTGTTAGATGTATGTTGTTAAAGGATTGGTCGAGTGGTTAACACTCCGGCCTTCCAAGCAGGCGGCCGGGGTTCGATCCGCGAAGTCGTCGCACGCATGGAATATTAGAGAAAGTGTTTTTCTCCTGCCCTCACAACTCCAACAACCCAGGTGTAGTATAAAATGGTCTGGAGTTGGTGTTGCGGTATCTGTGCTGTAGCATTCAATCTCAATGATACCGTTAGAAGCACGGTCCCACTACAAACAGAACACAATACATCTCCAGCACACACGCAGGCATACGCACATAGGGAGATGTAAGCCAGGTGGCATATGACTAGTAGTGTGGCTTTGGTTGGTTTTTCGTTGATATTTCATCCTAATTGCAGATCTGCATACCCATGCATGGAGGTGTATTCAGACATTGAACTTCATTATGGAGCTGGTGAATATCTCCAACGATTGAAAGCCACTGGTCAGAGTACCATACCAGACAAATGGAAAAAGATATCTGAAAAGAATTCAGATCTGATCAGACAGTAAGCTATTTAAAATATTTTTAAAAAAAATGCACTCCAAATGAAAACAAAACAACCTAGAATAAACTGACGTCTGTGCTTTAAGAGATCTTTTACAGTATGTGCTCCTGATTTGATGAAATGTTTAATATGTTTTCAAAAGCTAGTAAAACTGCATGGAATTACTGTTACATTAAGAACTAAAAAGTATCAAAAATACCTACCGGTGGTATTAATTATCTTCATTTTATTCAAAGCTTGTTTTTTATCATCTATTTAAATCAAACCATTCAATAAGTGATGTACTAATGGACTGGGAACAACTTTTTACGTACAAATGTATATTTCATGTCTACATTAAACTTTTGTATAAAATATTTAGATATGGAAACTATATCAAATATGTATTTTTTAGGATAAAAACCGAGGTCAGTTGCACTATTAAGAAGCTTCATGACAGAATATTGACGAATTTAATGGAAATGGATGCTACGAGAAAAGTGTACGTAACTTTGAAGCTATTGGATTTATTGATGGTTTTTTTTACGAGTGCCTTGATGTGTTTTGTAATGTATCTCTAAAGATTCACTTTGGTGTATTCGAGGTCATAGTTTACTACATGTATAATGGAGTAGAAAGACTGCTAGTTTTCCTTCTCTAACAAACTGTCATGAACATTCCTTGAATTCATCAAACGATATGTCCTCATTTTTTTTTAAGCCGCACACATTTTACCTGTCATCTTAGGTACTTAATAGATTAAGTTAAGAAGAATATCGTAGACATTACACGTGGAAATGAAATTAAAATGCTGCGCTACCTGAGGCATCTTAATACATTTTATACCTTTCATATATATATATATAAATTCCTTTACAAATTTATACAAATAAAACGTAGATTGAAAATTACCGTATATATTATACATTCCGTATAATGTTTCATGGTTGAGTGTCTGACAAGAAGGGGCCGCGATGACCAAGTGTTTGAGGCGTCCGACATTTCTCGAATGCATGTGCCCTATGTTTATACAACGGTTTGTCCATTTTATCTAACCCTCATCAGATGGTGGATCGATCGTCCTTGAAAATATTCATCGCTATTGTCGAGAAGAGCTGAACGGATCTTTCTTAATTTCCACGTGTAGATGTCCCTTAATCAGTAGTTGTACTTGCAATGTTTAAGACCCATTCCAAAGAAACGTGGGCCGGAAGTCAGCCATCTTATATTTTGCCTGGTGTTTTTTTACTATAATTTCTCAAGATTATGACGATTGAAGTTTGTAATTACTATTTTTTAGAGGGTCCTAGAAAGTTTCAAATACATGTTTATTTAATTAAACAGATGTTATGTTTAAACAACGCTTAAAAGAGAGAGGTGTGTCTTAGATTACCTTTTTTTCTCTGCTTTAAACTTGACCTTATCTACTATTAAACACGATCAGCCTATTATACCTTTATGATGTCCGAAGGTAAAGCAATGGGATGTATTGGATACTATACATCTAAAATGTTTTGGTTTTTTATAATTTACTTATCATAAAAAATGTTGCAACATTTTGATTGGAATACATAACCTTCATATCTATGTAATTGTCAAAAATAAAATATGTTTGGATATTACTATGTGTTTTCAACGCATCATACATAAAATATAACAATACACTATAGAGTCGTGATTGTTAGCTTCATAGAAAACATAGTCAGTAGGTATCATACGTAAACTACTTTTATTGGTTTTATGATGCAGTGGTGCTTGTTTGTGACACACTCTTGGTCTGATTTCACATCGGGAATACCACCCCAATACTGGAATAAGCTCAAGAGAAACGCAAAATATAGGTCTTAACAATAAGTACAAATTGATATTTTTCTTATTACATAATGTTGTTATAATTACTAAGGAATGCAGTACAAGCACTAGTAACGCTAATATCATTAACAGAAAAAATACCAATACATAAATAGCAACATGTAAGCTCGCAGTGCACATTCACAAAGCGACGATTTAACGTCATGCTTAGATATATTTGTCAAAGTTTTTTTGTTTTTATTTTGTTTTTATTTTTCCGAACGGATAGCTATATAAACATGAAAAAAATAAACATGCATGTGATTTACATAGAAATGTGTAACATACAGAGCAATTAAGCCTCCCTGCTGTTATCTACTAAAAATCCCAATTCTTTTCATTCAAATCTTTATTGCTCCAAACATGATACACTCACGCGTTTCCGGGGGCATGGAGTCGACAGTGTGTAGACTGATGTATCTAGTATCTCGTGATTAAATCAATACTTAAGTAAACCAGTCAATATGTCAATGATTGACCGTTCACAAAATATACATTTTGACAGACCCGATGCAGTAGTGTGGTTAGCTTTTATGTTAGTCATCCGGTCGACGGGACCAGAGACACGATCTCGGCATATATACGTCTTAGCGGCAAATGAAATAGAAGTCTTTTCTAAAACCATTCATGACCGGTCAAACATTTAAAATAGTCGCTGAACAAGAACCTCAAGGAGGCTTAAATCTCATATCTTACTGAATTATATCAATATGACAAAGCAGATATCTTTCAAATAGCGACATATATCGAAAGTGACATCCGTCGCAGTGTCATGATATTACTTTAATTCTTAACTATTTAGGTATAAACACTTCGATATGTGTTAAACAATAAAATTGATAACATATGTTGCACGAAATCTTATCCGTTAAAGCAAAACAAGGTGAATTTGTATTGAGCAGTCCTTTCAAGATGGCACTGAACCCGGTTGTCTAGCGTGACATATTAGAATACGGCACCAACAAATTAACTATTAATCTCTCCGATTTTTTTCGCAACAGCATCAGAAGTAACATTTTCGTCGTTGTAGGTACTTCAAGAACCGTTTTAAAAAGAACATTCAATGGATTTTCGTCGTCGAATATATTTATATATTTACATTTCCACTGCACAGAGTCTAGATGTTTTTACTGGGCCCAATGAATGTTATTTTCGTATAACTTACATTGGGCCATTGTGACGTCGCTACGCTTATGATGACATAACTGTAATGTTGGAAATTACACTGCTCCAATGTTATCTGGTGGTTGTTCTCTGTATGGATTTACCCTGACGTTGAAACGTGTTCAAACTAATATTATGTCTTTATTACTGCATGAACTGTAAGTTTATCAACATAAAATGTAAATATAAGAATTGGTCGTCATATTTTTGACATGCATTGGTGTGTAACATACTCGCACCATTCAATATGCAGTTAAGCCAATGTATGTTACACACAAATGCATGTCAAAAATATGACAACCAATCCTTAAATATCATATATTCACCAGTTTGGCAGAATGATGTACATTGCATTTAGTACTCAACAAGAAATATTCGGTTTACTGGCATGTATTTATACCGATGTAATTTCATTTCGTGATACCTTTATTTATTGTAAGTTTAGTACCGAATTTAAATATTTTTCTTTTTAGGAACTATATCAAACTATGCAGCAGATATACTGGACTGACGGCAATTGTATCGAAACTCAACAACATCTTGTCGAACATTTGCAGGTAAGTTACAATTGTCAGGTACACTAGCTGCTGTGTTGTCCGAACTATTCTGACGTTTTATCGACTTTTTTTATATCCGTGTGTCGTCGATTTACGTCAGAACTTCGACCCTCTATAATATGCGGGAAATATGCGACCCGCGCCCGGAGCGCACTTCAAACTGATATTTTAGAAACAAATCGTCACTTTCACACACATGTCACACATGGATCGAAATATCAAGATGATAGCACAAGATGAACCTACATAACATGCCTCAAACAACCAATACAATCACTAAAAACATGTTTTTTCAAACTTACTCTGTTTTACTCTAGTTTAGATAGCCCCGCCTTCTAATGCTACGTGACTAAAATCTCGCCGGCCTACGTCATAACGTTGGGAAATACCTTCGGTAACGTGAGATCTCGTCAAGTCATGTGACATTGCTCATGGCCTAATTCCCATTAAAAACATGGGTTGGTATAGAAAACGTTGTAAAATACTTTTCGTAATGATCTTTGAACCATGTAATTGATACCATCTAGTGCATAAAGAATAGATCTTTCGATCCATGTGCGACATGTGTGTGAAAGTGACAATCTGTTTCTAAAATATCAGTTTGAAGTGCGCTCCGGGCGCGGGTCGTATATGTACCGCATATTAAAGAGGGCCGGATTTCTGACGTTAATCGACGACAGACCGATATGAAAAAAGTCGATAAAACGTCAGAATAATTCGGACTAGCTGCTGTGCAAATCCTGACGAATTGTCATATGTCACTGCTGCAACCTTTGTTACATCGGGAAACAGCAAGTATACAATAGAAATACAAGGAAGATATCGGGGAAACAATACAATAAATCAGCCATTACACAACACACACAACCATATCACAGTAGAATAACTCGAAAGTGCTTGAAAGGGAGGACAACTGGAAAGTCAGGGAAATCCATATGGGTAAGGGAGGAGGGGGATCGGATGAGCAGAAACAAGAGGCCTTAAGCTGTATCATTTTTATGACCGTATTTTAACACCCACTGAGAGCGGAATTGTTAAACAAACTGCCTTCCTTCTGATTGCCAGCAGTATAAGAGAGCTATTTTGCGAAATATGTGTTAATGGTTTCTAACAGCTGTCTCTATTGACTAGGCACATTGTGGCTTAGTGAGTTGTTTGCAGTGATTTAGAAGGGAGACATCGGTTATTTACACTCTTTGCTTAATACAGGCGCTCGCAAAAAAGTCTGTAACTACTGTTTGTATCATAAACTAACTCAGTATTAAGTATGTGTTGTATATACTCTGATCATATGAATATCATGATATAAAGTGATATTAAACCAGAACAATCAGATTTTTTATCACACAGGTTAATAAGACTTCACGCTACGCTGTTTACATGTTCTCTTTACTACCTATCGTAAAGAAGGCGATTTGGATCCAGACCTTTTTAGCTAAAACATTGCTCTAAACCTGATAATGCAAATCACTGCCATTAGTATAGTTGTCGCCTTTCATGGTCCGTTTAAACATTATTTTCGATGAAAAAAAGGTTAAATATTTAATATCACCATTTCTCGAACAAGAACAACGATAGATTGTTCTTGTTCGGGAAATGGTTAAAACTTTAGACGAAAAAACAGTCAAGAGGCTTGCAAAAATCAAAAATTTAGATATCTATCAAAAATCTGATAGGAAGGAAAAATCAAGATAAATCCTCGATATCATGTACGAACGAGAAAACTTTTATTCCATTATCATACTGCAAAGGAAGGTAAAATACAAACCAATCAACAATAAAAAAAAAAAGCAATGAACCTTACCTAAATGTTGTTAGTTTCGGTACAGGTAAATGATATAATTCTGATCGTCGCTGATCATCAATGTGGACCTAACATTAAATTGACATCATATATAGAGAGAGAGTTTAGATAATGAAAGAGATTATGATTTCTTTCTTTCAGTGAATAAAGTAGAAATATTCGACGCATAGTACATATTCATATAAAACACTGATATGTTTATAATCAAACCGAGCTTGAAGCGTGATACATGAAATGATAGTTCTAGTACAATAAAACATAACCTGTACCCCCATTGAAGATTGGAATTGTATGTTGTTGCTATAAAAACAGATTATTTAGTATGCAAAGAAACATGCAAGAGGATTTAACGAAAGGTAAGGCATGGATCTCTAATAAGTTTTCGTACGAAAGTATCGATTACAACCCACTAAGTCATGACTTGACGTTATGTTTTATAAATTTGTATGAACCATACTTTCATTTATGTGATAGTATCATACTATTAAGCTGAAATAGCCATAGATATGTGTTGAGCAAGAAATTGATATTTTATATATCTACCATGAAGAACGTTCGTGTTATCCTGGTAATTAATGTATTAAATTGTTAATAATTTGTCTATTGATGTATTGATAAAATATTTTATAAAATTATTTTATTAACCTATATAACATTAATCGGATACCATTTGAAACATACTTTGAATGTATTTTTAAGCAATGAACGGTCCCTGTAAAACGGTGTGAGGAAGAGACTGGTAAAGTTTCTGATTTGAATGTTTCAACGTGGAAGAGTTCTTACTAGTTTTATAACTCCCTTCCCTCACACTTTTTATGGGGGTATATAGTAATAGATTTGTCAACTCGTCCATGTTTATGTCCGTCGGTGATGCAGTGCGTCAATCCTGTCCGTAGAAACATGTATCGTGTACAATATATCTCAAGTACCCCTGAACACATTTGCTTCATATTTACATCATAATATAATAATCTGAAGTTCTGCACCGGATGGTGGTAATCGGTCAAGGATGAAGTGTCAAGGGTCACAGTCTAAAATAATGTTTTATTCGTATGTAGTACGGCTTGTATAAACGATATCTCATGAACCCATTTGATTTATTTTTTACACTATAGAAGGATGACAATGAGATGTAACGCCCTCTGCATAATTTGGGATTTGCGTTTGTGCCCTCTTCTTTGGTGAACAATCGCGAACAAAATAAATCTGCTGCACTCAAACAATGAGGATCTTAATCTATATGTTTTTGTTGTTTTTTTAACTACCTTTTGTTTCCTAGTGCTTCGTTTGGTGATATTTCACTTTTGGCTTTAATGTTGAACGTTCGCCCAGGTAAAGAAGGAAATAGGGTCAGTCCTCTTGCCGGGACATACCAACGTCCTTTACAAAATGGTAGTTGTAATCTACTTCTTGAAGTTCGGCAATTAGGGAAATGCCAATAACGTGTTCGCCCGTTGTTCAGTATAATGCGATTTGGCAGAATACTATGCTGGGCGCCTTCGGCATTGTATTTCTATTAGAAATGCTGTAAAGTCTACATCAAATCCGCGCTATCGCAGCATGCAATTACACCAACGTACCTTGTCTCCAGCACACGCGTGCATGCATGAATTGCCGACCTGATGGCACTTCCTTAAATTCCTTCTCGCTTTTGATAGGAGGTTAAACCATATCAAATCAACTATATACATGCATGTACCTGATGAGAATGTATGGGTCCCCAGTCAGGCATAAAGTGTCAAAGCTTATGAAGAATGTCAGTGCGAGTTTACGCTTACTTCGTTTTTATCAGTTTGTTGCAACGTGTTGGTTGTTAGGTTTATCTTACCTAAGCGTCATGTTCAATACAACTGTCAATGTGCGCATGTGTATGGTAACAAGTATGTGCTTTATAACTGATAAAAAAACGTCTGATACGAAGATGTTATGATAACATGCATCTCATTTGTCATAGTGAAAAACAAAATGGCCTTTCAGAAATAACACATTAAAAAGTAAATAAGGATATATACAATTGATATCAAGCTGGGCATAATTAACTAGAGAACTATAAGGGTGGATGCAAAGAGAAATCGCACGTTAATGTGTTTGTATGACATATGAATGTAATTGTTACAGATGTCATTGAATATGGTAATATGCTCTGGGAATACTTTATTATAACATACAAATAAATGAACTATTTTCTCTAAATTCCAATGCATTATGTGTTTATATACTTATGTTGTCAATGCGATTACTATTGTAGAGGCGAACAAGTACTTCACGAAAGTTTCACTGAGGAGGAAACGTGGTACAATGAGTTCGACTATTCATACGTCGACATGTATTTCAAAAACGCTAATGTCAAGGGAGACTCAGAGACAGAATGGAACAGAGCAGCAAAACAGACAAGGCATAAGTACGTGACATTTCTCATTTAATCTATATGGCATTTCAATACATATGTCATATCAGAAATTGTCTAGTTAACGACAAACGGGGTTGACGGTAATGCATTTTTATTGTTTAAAGTTTCCGTTTCTATTGTCGTGTATTTCCACATCCTGGTTTCCTTTTTTGGATTTGATCTCATTAGGGAAATATATGTATATATTTACATTTACTGGGCCAGATTCCCAAATTTACATGTTCGACGTTTTTGATATCTCGTCCCTTCTTTCTGGTACTTATCTCTCGTTGACTCACTTTATGTGATAGCGCATCTTGCGCAAGAATAGGTCCTCTACATATATTTAGTAGTTAGAGTAGCTAGAGTTTTCTAGAGGGATTCTTCTCCGATTTTGGTTATCATTTGACGGGTCGTCGTTGTGTTTCATTGTGCGAGTCGTCTTAGTGTCTTTAGCCGAGGGGACTATTGGTTTTATATCATAGCTATATTTTCAATTATAGTATATCAGTTATATCGTCTTGTAGTATGATGTATATGAACATGTAACTGTTCTGTTTCACTGTGTCTTGAAAAAGGAGCGGATCGCTCCGAAAATTTGACAACCTTAACTTGTCCACACTGTTGGAATTACTTCTTTGCCCCTTATATATTTATATATAGATTGACAACCTTAACTTGTCTACACTGTTCGAATTACTTCTTTGCCCCATATAAATTTATATATAGATTGACAACCTTAACTTGTCCACACTGTTGGAATTACTTCTTTGCCCCCTATATATATATATATATATATAGATTGACAACCTTAACTTGTCCACACTGTTGGAATTACTTCGATGCCTCATATATATTTATATGGATATACCGTATGAGCAAAAGAGTACAGTCACACGATAGAAAAACATGCGTTTTGAGCTTATTTCGGGTAAGTTGAGATTGCCCTTCGACATTGTAAACGTCATGATCCTAAATTAATTCTAAAGAAATCAACGCGTCTTGATAAAATAATATGTTATTTTAGTATCGCTCTTAATCCTGTCAAATTTCAAATACTCATTTTATAAAAAAAAGGGAAATGCTATTATATGCCTACTGTAAAGTAAACTTTTCAGTTAAATCACTGGATGTTGCGATGCATAAGACATTCTATATTTTCAATTAATGGTTAAAACTTATTTGCATGCATCCTGATGGAATAAAGCATCGATATTATAAAGATGAAAACACAGATGTCGGCGGATATCTCTAACGGAAAGTTGGACATAACGGCTCTCTGATTCGCCTTATTCGCTGTCAATCGCTACTATTTAACTTTTACATACGCTGATTTAAATGTATTGAATAATACAATCGAAATACTTCGAATAGACGAAAGAAGATATACTTTAAATGATCTGAACGAGTTTATCAAACTTATAATACAACAGCGTGAAATGTGAAAGAATTTCAATTACAATATAAGCCTTTCGACGGCCTCAAGCTACTTAGGGTATTTTTTTATTTATTTTTTTACAGTTTGGCCACCAAAATTGTTGAATGGTGTACTACCTTACATCAGCAATATGGTGCTTTGGTTAAAGAATTAAGGACTCAAAGAAAATCAGTGCGACCGTAAGTTACCATTTTTTATGAATATTTATCTTTATGCAATGTGTTTATACAAAATGGACATGTACTGGTTTAAAATCTTTATAATATTCACCTGGTTTGCGTTTTGTAAATTATTGTACAAAAAATTAAAATCAAATTTTCATTAGATAACATCATTTGTTTTTGTTAATAAGCTCACCTGGTCCGAAGGACCAAGGTGAGCTTATGCCATACCGTGGCGTCCGTCGTCCGTCCGTCGTCTGTTCGTCAACAATTTCTTTAAACGACTTCTTCTTCTTAACCACTGATTGGAATTTAATTAAATTTAAATGGAAGCATCCTAAGGTGGGGTGGATTGTAAATTGTACAAATAGTTTGGATGACCCCCCAGGGGGCTGAGGAACGGGGCCAAAAAGTGTTATTTGGCTATATTGCTTTAAGCGACTTCTTCTCTGGAACTAAATGATGAATATCAACCATATTTGACTTGGTGCATCCCTAGGTGGTTGGGATTTAAAATTGTACAAATCGTGGGACTAACCCTTCAGGGGGCTGAGGTGCGGGGCCAAAAGGGGCAATTTTGGCTATATTGCTTTAAGCGACTTCTTCTCTGGAATTAAGTGATGGATACCAACCACATTTGATTGGAAGCAGCCCTAGGTGGTGGTTATTCAAAATAGTACAAAAGCGTGGGCCGATCCTCCAGGATGCTGAGGGGCGGGGACGAAAGCGGGCAATTTGGCTATATTGCTACAAACGACTTCTGTAGAACCATGCACTGAATATCAATCATATTTGATCAAAAGCATTCATGGGAGGCAGGGATTCAAAAATGTACACTGGTGGGGCTTACCCCACAGGGGGCGGAGTGGCTGGGCCAAAAGGGGCAATTTGGCTAAATTGCTTTATGCGACTTCTTCTCTGGAATTAAGTGATGGATACCAACAACATTTAATTGGAAGCAGCCCTAGGTGGTGGTTATTCAAAATAGTACAAAAGTGCGGGGCTGATCCTCCAGGGTGCTGAGAGGCGGGAACAAAAGCGGGCAATTTGGCTATATTGCTACAAACAACTTCTTCTGTAGAACTATGCACTTGATATCAATCATAATTGATCAAAAGCATTCATGGGAGGCAGTGATCCAAAATTGTACAAATGATGGGGCTGACCTCCCAGGGGGCTGAGGGGCGGGGCCAACAGGCGGCAATTTTGCTATATTGCTACAAACAACTTCTTCTGTAGAACTATGCCCTGAATATCAATCATACTTAATCAAAAGCATTTATGGGAGGCAGGGATTCAAAATTGTACAAATGGTGGGGATGACCCCCCGGGGTAAGGAGTAGGGTCAAAAAAGTGTATTACTTTGTTGAAGTCCCCACAGTATATAACTATATATACAATTGCTGAGTATAAAGAGAAGAATACACATTTGCTTCCAGGATGGCCCTATGGTCTAGCCCCACCCTTAGAGACAAAGTCCCTGGGTCATAACTTTAAAACGGTTGAGATCCCAACCCCAAAATTATGTATACAAATGCTGGGCATAAAGAGACAAATGCAGTCATGATATTAGAATAGACCCTTGGGTCTGACTGATCCCCGACGGACAGTTTCTTAGTCACAGCTTGGAAACAGTTGAGATCCCCACCCTATAACCATATTAAATACAATTGCTGAGTATAAAGAGATGAATGCATATATGCTTCCGGGATGGCCTTGGGGTCTGCCCCACCCTTGGAGACAAATCCTGGGTCATAACTTCGAAATGGTTTAGATCCCCACACCAAAACTATATATACAATTGTTGGGCATAAAGAGACGAATGAAGTCATGCTATTAGAATTGACCTTAGGGTCTGCCCCACCCTTGCAGACTAAACCCCTGGGTCATAACTTAGAAACGATTGAGAACCACACCCCCAAACTATAAATAAAAATGATGGGCAAAAAGAGACGAATGCAGTCTTGATATTATAATTGATCCTGGGGTCTGGTCACAACCCTAGGGACCTAGTTTCTGAGTCACAGCTTGGAAACAGTTGAGATCCCCACCCCATAACCATACATAAAATTGCTGGGCATGAAAAATCTAATACAGATATGCTTCATATTCCCTTGGATCTCTTTGGAGAATATTTTGCCATAATTGCTTAGATATCCAGGTGAGCGATACAGACCCTCTGAGCCTCTTGTTGAGTTGTGTGCTGAACCCACTAACATTGATCCATAAGTACATTCCGTGTTCTTACATGTAACTTCTGAACATTACGTTCTTGTGATGAAGATACTATTACAAAAAATAGTCCATGTATCCCTTTATGACTACACATCCATATAATGTTTCGTTTTTTTCAGTGGAATTAAGACACACGTTGCCGAGTTAGAGACAAGGGTTGTTCAACAACAGAGGTAAGTCTTGAAATATCTATATGTATATATTTTATTTAACATTCCAAATATTGTATAACCCCAAACTGTGTTTTTTTAAGATATTTATATTTATATACAGCTTGCACGTACAGATATATAAGTATTTATATAAATAAGTAAACAATAGGGAGGATGATAGGCTATAAGATATTTGCAAACAGAGTACAGGAAACAACACAAACATACTTTCTTCTTTTCACAAGATCACACTTCCAAACAAACTCCATATACAACATGCTTTTATAAACAAGGATAAATGGGTAAATATACAGAAAACAAGTATATACTTTTACACAATACACATGTTCATCGACATCTACACACACACACCAATATATAAATAAGTATAAACAGACAGACAGACACATCAAAATTCTCACATATTCGAGGAGTTAAAACAAAAAACAAACAAAAAACAAAAAAACAGCGAAAACAACCTCTGTGCAAACCAGTCTAAACGAAACTAAAATTTTATGTAAAATATCCACACCCTTTGTTTTGATATTAAAGGCCTCAATATCATAATAGTGAATTGTTTAAGGTATGAACAAAATATATCATTGTATCATCTCTGCAAAAACCTTGAAACGCTAACGGTAAACCAAAAAAATATGCATGCATGCACATTTATATATCAACGTATTATCCTATGGAAATTTCTTTTAAATATAATTATGTAGACATACATTATCAGCGTTTTTGCATACTACCACATATAATTAAATTATAAAGTGTGTTTTACCATTAAAAATTCTAACCTAAGTTAATGCAAATTGTTGGATAAGATATTAATTTATAATGACTTGTCTAGCACCTGATGTGACCAAACACTATGGGCTTGTTTCAACAGAGTATTGGAACAAGATGAATGTGTTCTGTAGTTTCAATTTCTGTGTTTTACATACTATGAACGTTAGCATTTGGAGCACAATCTTTATTTTTTCAATTGTTTAGTAGACACGGTTTGTTTTAAACGGTTGTTCGACAGTGTTTTCAGCAGTTAAAGTAACATAACATTGAATTTAAGTTTTACGTCTGCAAAGGCTAAAAATAATTATTTGGGTCTGATATGTTTTTTAATAAAAATGTAAAGTGTAAGAAACTGCTCTATATGTTTACTTGCATTTGTGTTCTTCTATCCATACCTGTAAAAAAATGTTCTTCTAAAACAAAATGGTCCAATATTTATCATCGTTCTTGAGCAATCTTCGTTTCCATGTTGACTAAAGGTTAGAAAAAATGTATCATTTTAAAGACCCCAATTGACATAGCTTTGGACTGTAGTTTCTCTTACCCTGGACTACGATGGCCGATATGTGCCGGCAGAAACGTCTCATGACTTGATATAAATCTGCCCGGCAATTTTCGCAGAGAAAAATATGTCCGGCAGAAACGTATCATCACTTTTTATAAATCTGCCCGGCAGTTTTCTAAGAGAAAAATATGTCCGGCAGAAATGTATCATGACTTAATATAAATCTGCCCGGCAGTTTTCTTAGGGAAAAATATGTCCGGCAGAAACGTATCATGACTTTTTATAAATCGGCCCGGCAGTTTTCTCAGAGAAAAATATGTCCGGCAGAAACGTATCATCACTTTATATGAATCTGCCCGGCAGTTTTCTCAGAGAAAAATATGTCCGGCAGAAATGTATCATGACTTAATATAAATCTGCCCGGCAGTTTTCTTAGAGAAAAATATGTCCGGCAGTAATGAATCTTGACTTAATATAAATCTGCTCGGCAATTTTTTGGTGAAAAAGATGTCCGACAGAAAGGTACTTTCAATATATCTACCAGATAAAAGGGGTTAGCACAGGAGTGTTATCTCAGGAAACTAAACAGAACACGAAACCTTATCCCGAAATTAATTTCTTTTACCCTTATGTGGGCTTAGGAAATGGCAGCGGACACCATTATAACTCTCGTGTTAAACAAAGCCCAGCAACATAACTACACATATGTTTCAACTAATTGGCATGTATCATTTAAGCAGTATTATCATCTGCAATATGTGCAAGCCATTAACATTCATTTTTGTTTGATGTACTTTATGTGTCTTTTACATTAATTATAAAGACTAGATATCAGAAAAAACTCGTTCAGTTTCAGAACTATTGATATTTGGAATGGTCTGCCCGAATATGTCATAAATTCAACAACTATAAGAGCCTTCGAAATCAATTTAGACAAACATTAGCAAAATCTAGAGCTTAGATACAATAATTTGGCTAGTTACAGACAGATATCAGGAAGTGACAAAGCATATTATTTATAGGTACCATTATAAGATGTGGATAAAGAGGCAGTCAGTATCCAGTAATCATCCTATTAAAATGAAGAAAATAATCTGATAATCGTACATAATGTATAGAAATAAGCACATCCTAAGTTTTCCCAGTAATATTGATAATTTCTCTTTGAAAGGCATTTTTTCTGAAAACTGATTATGAAGACAGAGAGAATGAGATTAGATTCTCGCTAGTGGGTGATGGCGAATTTACTTTTAATGATTTGCGGTACTATTGTTTTAAAATTAATTCTTTCCTCCCATTGCTTCGACATCCGGAATTAACCGGCCAGTAAATCTTGTGAGAAATATTAACATTATTACAATGTTACCCCTAATACAATATGTATTTACACTTTATTATCTATACTGTAACCCGTACTGAGCTCTGAAAACTGTAGTTGTCATGTTTATTCTTATACCCATTTCCAGAGGGAGCATTTCCAAGGGCTACCTTTCATACATTTCAGCCGGACATATTTTTTCTCTGAGAAAACTACCGGGCAGATTTATATAAAGTCATGATACATTTCAGCCGGACATATTTTTCTCTGAGAAAACTGCCGGACAAATTTATATCAAGTCATGATACGTTTCTGCCGGACATATTTTTCTCTGAGAAAACTGCCGGGCAGATTTATATCAAGTCAAAATACATTTCTGCCGGACATATTTTTCTCTGAGAACCTGCTGGGCAGATTTATATAAAGTCATGATACATTTCTGCCGGCCCATATCGGCCATCGCACTGGACAGGTGTATCCGCACTTTTACCGGTGTGAGATTTCCTTGTTTCACCCTAAGGTTGAGACGGGGGATTCCTTTTTTCATAACAATGACATGACGTCACTTCAACAATACAATGACGTCACTCAACAATTCATCAACGTCACGTAAACCCTAAATTTAGCCTGTGACGTTAACATAACATTTTGTATATATACGATACACAATGGGTGAACAGGATAAGAGAAAAATGAATAATTCACCCTCTTGTTGGTGAGATCGGTTAAAACTTATATTTACATCTTTAAGAACTGTTGTATAATTCAAAGTTACAACCTCATCTTGATTAACTTGGAAATAAACACTGAGCTAATTAAATTTTGTTTCCCCCAATTACCTTTCATCTACGGAGGTGAATGTCTGCACCTTATTTCTTGCTGGCAATATCTAGATTATTTACTCTCAGTCCCGATATTTTACCAAAGCAATCTTAAACATCCAACGCTTTGTTGAATGCGTTTCTAAATGCACCTGAAATTACCAAGGTATCGTCTGCAAGCTGTGAGAGCTTATGAGCTTATGTGTTTCTGATCTTTCTGTCGGATTGTATTGCCCTTGATGTTTTTATTGATTACTGTTTATTGTCTGTTGGCTATACAAGCTGAAGCCAGTTTAAACACAATTTCTGATAAAGTAATCAGTCTCCAATTTCTAATAAAATGTCGAACTTTATATCCCGTTGAAATACAGGTACTAATACAATATCTTCGTGTAAACAATAGGTTACCATTATACCCAGAATTTGAAACTCTGAAAATGCAATATTTCTCCAAAAACATGTTTTGAAAAAGTCACTAGTAAAACCATTAGACCCGAGTGATTTACAGTTAATTCGCCTTTTAACTTTACACGTCCGTTAGTTTTACAAATTCTAAACTAATTAAAAGAATATCTTATTCTAGTCTTCAATATGATCTGAATGGTCAGCAAATAATTGTTTGTGATTTTTTTGTATTGCTCTAAGGATCTTATCGCGACCAGTTATAATATTTCAACTTCATTAATATTTTATTATCATGAGTGTGTGTTTCTAAGTTACAAAAGTATTTTGATGTTTTTCCCGTTATTCCGCTTTTTTCTAAACACAAGCATGCACCGAAAGTAGCCCGGATGTTATGTGTTCATAACTCAATCATTCAATTATTTCTCACTTCGAGCCAAGTCTATTGCTTATGTACAGTTTTGTTTGTGTTTTTTATAGTTATTATTAGTGGTGATATTCATCCTTTTCCTGGTCCAGATGAAAGCAGTCTCTCCATGTGTGGTATCAATGCAAGCAGTCTCTGTCTCATTCAAATACTTGCAATTACCACAGATTCAATAAAATTGTAAGCGTGCAGATAAACATTCACATAATGACATTATAACTAATACTGAAAATAGTTTAAGCATGAATAAAACTATCAGTGTTTATGTCGAGATAGAAACTGACAAGAAAAAGATGTTACCATTAACGTGCGCGATCGATCTATCTCATGTAAATGTAACCTCGTTGTTATGTGACGCATTGTCTAATTTATATCATCTTAAAACTTTCTATACATTAAACTTTAAATCACATATAAACCACAAACAAACCTAAGACAAATCTGAAACTACAAGCTAAATATAAATTAGCCCTCGATAATGCTTATCTAGATACTATTTTTAATGTTGACGACGACTCAGATGACATAGCTGAGAATGCTATCTATTACACCTCGGAAATGACATAGTTTAAAATGTCACCCACTTTAAAGATATATAATAGTTTTATCCCAATAAAATAGTCACCATTCGGTCCCGTGATAGGCCGTGAAGACAAACGAAGTCAAACGCAGAAACAGGGCTTTCCTGCGTTTGAAGAAGCTAAAAGAGGTATGGACAGATTAGGGTTTTCCTTGTCTATAAGGAGACAAACCATTCCTAAAAAAAAACTAAAATAAACGATAAAATAAAATATTATCAACAAACTCAGCATCATCGATTTAAACAGACACGTTTTTGGTCTGTATTCTGAAGTTTTCATAAGCAGGATTTTTTTAACATTTATATCAACTGGTATATTTAACACAATGTAAATCGCTGAAAAAAGAGGTGTTTTGCCTACTTCTTGGGAAACCACCCGTGTTTACCCTATACACAAGGCTTGAAGAAGCTAGTAATCAACTTCAGACCTATTTCTTTACTGTCTAAAACACCAAAATGTTTTGAAAAACGAGTAAAAACATAGGCTCGTACTCGTCATGAATCATTTGGCGAATTATATTGTCTAAGACAGCGAGAAGTTATAGCAACTAAAACTTTTTAAAAGCTGTTTTGTTTCGTGTATCTCTTAGAAAAGGGTCTTTATTTCTTTGAGAGTTTTGTTGTCAAAGAAAAGCGTACGGACATATAAATACATGGTGGTTAATTAGTTTTGAGCAAATTTTGTGGAAAATACAACAAAAGCCAAAATGAAATATCCTGAGGACGATATTGTGAGAATGAATGAGCTCCGGGTTGGCAACGTCTTTCCTGAGTTCGGTTTCAAGATGTTCAAGCTTACTTTAGATATTCGTATGGGAACAAACTGTACCCCTCTTCTGGTCGATTTATTTCTGTTTTTATATGAAGCTAAATTTTATTGATGAGCTCATCAAGACTGGTAACAAACATGTAGCCAACTCCTTCGATTTCACATTCATGATATCGACAATGTGCTGTCTTTGAACAATAAGAAATTAATTCAATGAGTCAGTGTCATCGATGAAGCAGAAGACGCTTTTCCTTTCGGAACACCATGACCTATTCTCCTTGTACGTTTTTAGGATCTACATGTCAATCTTTCATTTGTTCATATTCAGCCCTGTTTTATCAGGGTGGATAATGCACTCGCTTTTCACCGAGGCGACCGGAGTTCGATTCCCCGATCTAACCTAAAACGTATTGGGTCACCTACCAGACCATGGTGGTTTTCTTCGAGATCTTCTAAATCCGGACCAACAGGAATTTCAACATTTGTTGTTAATAATTGAGGTTTATAGTTTTAATTGTTACCGATTTTGAGTTCGAATTATTGTTTTGTTGACACTCTTATTTTTTTCAGTGGCACCCATACACACGTTTCCGAGTTAGAGGCTAGCATTGTTAAACTACAGAGGAGAGTCTTGTGAACTAATTTCAGCTTAATAGTAGGGCTGATACCATGGGACAATAAGATGTCAAATGTCGAAATCGTATTTTGTAATATATTTATTTACCGCAAATTCTTAAGGTTTCTACCCAAGCAAATACATCATAAACGTGAATTAAATACAATCAAACTTATCTTTGTAAACTTAACACCTTGACATAAATGTTTGCTACTAAAACCGTGTACGTTTCTTTATAATGTGAAACGTGTATCATCAATATAACATTATTAATTAATAGTGAGATAACTCTTAACATTCACAGCCAGATGACAAAGATGGAAAATGAGTTCAAAACCAAAGAAGCTCTTTGGTTTGAAAAAGATTTAAGGACACAGCAGTAAGTATTTTTGTTTCTAGAATAAGTTTTATAAAATATCAAATGGTGAAATAATATTTCTTAAAAACTGCATTTGCTGTTAATGTATTTACTGATGTTTTATCTTATTATGGGTGCACTAAGTTTCTTGATGTGTATTATATTATTATATGCATCAAATAAAATATGAATAAGTGCGTTGTAAGTCGAATCTTATCCGCCATATATATTCTGTACATTGGTTCTTTTTATAGAACAAATGCAGATTTGACGTCACAGTTAGACGATGTAAAATACAATGCGGATTATTTAAAAAAACAAATTAATACACAATGGAACCAGTATTTGGTACAACTGACCGATGAACAAAGCCGGAAGTTTGAAACTCAACAAGCAAAACTAGCTGAGGCAATGAACAAAATGGCAGCCTTGAGACGGGAGAAAGAAAATCTACTTACAAGGTATATACTGCCTTTTCCTTGTCTTTCCAACTATTTATACATGTGTGACCAATCTTTATGAATCATTTGACGATTAAAAAAAGAATATATTTTGTGACTTAAACTATTTTGTTCTTCTGCTTTCTGCACCCATGCAGATAGGAGATCGGAAGAAGATATACCTGCTGTTACAAACTGCGTGGTATCGTAAGAGGCGATAAATGTGTGAAAGCCCCTACAGAATTGGGGATTTGTTTTTTTGCCCTCTTCTTTGAAACACAAAAGCGACCAAAATGCATCTGCTGACCCTTTGCAATATTTGGAATTCCTATATTTTCTCTACTAATATTTTCCTTAATATTTCCTAGCGGGTTGCTTGGCAAAACCTCACTTTTGGGCTTAATATTATACGTTTGCCCAGGTAGGGAAGGCAATTGGTTCTATCCCCGGTCCTTAAAAATATTAGTTGTTATTCCCTGCTTTACGTTCAGCATTTAGGGAAATGGCAACAACTGGTTCACTCGCTATCGGTATATTCGAACCGGGCGGAATTGCTGTGATTGGTGCCTTTGATATGGTATTTCATTGAGATAACACTACAAAGTCGGCATCAGATTCGCACTATCAAATTGAAGCAACTGCCACACTTATATTTTTATTTGATTTTTTTGGTTTATCTATAGATTGGGTATCAATTATAATTTCAGAAATAGCTTTTCATTTATGCACAATTTTACTAATTTTTGATACGTGATTTAGTTTTACTGTTTCTCTAAAGGTTAAGTAAAATAGCTGGGAGTAAACTTGTTCATGGCAACCCCGCCATCACAGATCTCAGTGATGCCAACCGCCCTACAAAGCTATCGGAGAGGTACTCAGAGCTGTATGACAACGAATGGACTGACGCTTTAGAGGAGCTGATAGATAGAAAAGACATCGTCCAAGGCGAGGATGTTGTCTGTACAAAAATACTCCCCGCTATTCTAATTGTATGTATGATCTAAACGCGTTGTTTAACTTTATTTTTCGAATAGTCCCGTTGATAAGTAAAATGTTATGAAATTGTATGCCTGTACAAACTGTTCATAGCATTTACCGTTATTTATATATATTAAAAGGTAACGACTGCCCGAATGCCGAATGTACTGTAAATTTAGCGGGCTCCAATTTTTGCGTTAAATGCAACAGGAAAGTATATAAACATTATTTTAAATTAGCGCATTCATAATTTTAGCTCAATATGTAAAGCGATAAAAGCGATTAAATCAAATCACTGTTACAATTTTGAGGTTTTTAAAGATATGGGATATGGGTTACGTCACGGTAGGGAGGTATGGATATTTAAATCTTTTGTTTTTGGACTTCAAAGATGGTTGTAGGTATTTTATATGCATACTTAAGTTATGGTAATTATTAATGAAATGAACATTTACAGTAACTGTCAACCTATAGATGGTGCCATGCCATTGTACACCAGTTTACATTCTGTGGAAAAACGTAATGAAGTACTGCTGTTTCTTTGCATGAACATAGAGGATAATATTCCTATTTGCATTGTACCAGAAGGAGTGATGTTAGTTTTATTAGAACTGGTTATTGTTCGGACAAAATGTCATAGCAATATACACGGTCCCCGATGACTTTGTAGTTGTATTGCAAATACAGTCATATAGAACTTACTCCGAAACCAACAAGTTCTAATTATTCAAACTCCCTAGCTCTCTGTTGTCAGATGTTCGACTATCAGCACATCGGGGTCGAACTAACACTATATACAATAGTCAGCACCTTCTAGTTTAAGTTACATGATGGCTTAATTGGAAACTTGCGATAATAAAAGGACACATTTTGACAGTCGGCGTCAACACCGGTTTAAATAACCTTCCATCCACGTTGGATGACTTAGCAAAAGGAGAGTGCCAATTTTGGCCTCTGGTTGCTGCCACCGATAAGGTTTATATTTTTGTATTTAAACAGTATACGTTGATATGCCGTGATTAAATAACATGAAAATAACGTCAGCTTTTTTTTGTTAAACTTTCTTCAAATGTTTGATGTATTGTGCAGCATTAAAGCTGCAAAGTGTAAAACTTACCGAAAAATAGAACATATCTGATACAAATTAAGATTCTATTTTATTTATGCCTAAATACGCATTAGAACCAAACAATAATCTGACCAAATTAAATGTATTTGTAAGTTTCTAAACATATCTCAATAAATAGAAGTCGACGTGGGTTTTGAGAGGGGGATGTTTTCTTCATACCATTTTAAACTACTTTTATTCATAACTACTATTCTTTGGAAGCACAATATTTAGAGACGATTTGTGCTTTTTGTCCAGAAGCTGACCTTAATTTGTTGTCATATCATGACGGTATAACCCCGTGATATGTATATACCGAAAGTAACCCTATGGGTGACAGCAACAAGAAAATGCCGAACTGATCACACATCCTTTAAGGATATGCACGTTCGTACACATTTTCATGAAAATATCATTATAGGATTTAATGGTGATAGTTGATGGTATGTCCTTGCAACCATTAAAATGAAAAATAAATGTTTTATCAATAATTTCAAAATGTTATTGAATACAGGCTACCATTATTATTCCTTAAAAGTTTTTAAAGCTGTTGTATTCTAAATATAAGATCATAAAAAGGGCAATGGAATCACTGTTTGTGAGACATCAAACCCGGATAAAAGCAGAGCTTTTCGTTATTTTTAGGATGTTTCGTTATTATACCTGATCGTTTTGTTAATTTCAATTTATTTCGTTTCCACTATTTTTATCTTATCAGTTATAAGCAATGATATACAAACGCTAACTGGTGTTTATTCTATTGCGTTGTAATTTGGTTTAAGCTTAAATAACTATTTTTCGATATTCAAAGATGTCGCTTACATTTATAAACTAAACACAAACTACCAGGCTTGAAATTACTGTGATTAAATGAATAAGATATATTTTGGATAGAGTATGTATTTTAAAAAAAAATAACTTTAATTTACTGCATTGTTCTTACATTGTATTGCGTATACGTAATGGTATCAATATAACGTTTACACATTGATAGTTCTTGCAAGGTGATATATTTTTGTCTGTAAAAAAATGATATTTACGTGCGGGAGCTCGTGTAATTATGATGTGCAAGCGTACATTTATTGCTGTTATCATAAATTCTATCATGTGTAGGGTTTTTTTCAGTGGTCGTTAAAGATGTCTTCCTTATTTCCTTAAGTTCCCTGTAAACGACCCAATGATTATGTGTAATATTTTCTTAGGAGTCGTTTAAGTTTTGCTGTGAAACTGAGGCCGAATATGTGAGGACGATCCGACAGTCACTAACATCGCTCCCAGGCTCTAATCCAGACAGAACAGAACAAGAACAGGTACATCTTGCAACAAAGAAAAGACTGCAATATAAACCAAACCTATATTAAAATTAATAACAGATGTTAATGTCATCTCTCTTTCTTATTCTTCTAATTTTGTTTATCTATCTATATTTTTTGATAAATACATGTGTTGTTGTTGTCATGTAATTTATATGATGAAATGCATTGGAGAGTACGTTTCTAAATTGAGATAACTTGTGCTTATCCTGTTTATTGAATGACAAATAAAATATGTTTAAATCAAACATCTAACGACGTCTGTTTCTTTACTATCATGTATTTACATGTAAGAAAATATAACCCTGATTTTGTTGAATTATTCAATATGGCATATTATGCAAACACATATGTTAAATAAATTAAAATGAATGCCATGCATATATGTTTATTATGAGCAAACTGTACACGGTTCATTCTAGTTTATCATAGGTGTGACATTGAATGGTAAGTCTGGTTTGCGATCGTAAGTTGTTTGTTAAGATATGACGGCCTTGTGCCATAGTGTATAAATATTGTTACATAGCATCTTTAAGGAAGCAATAGATATTCACATTAGGACACCCTACATGTAAATTTTCTTATTGAGGAACTGGATGATAATACAGTAAAGATACACTTATTAATGAGTCTATTATTAGCATAACCTACATTATTTGAACAAAACGCTTTGTAGACATTTTTGATGATTTCACGTATTATTTTATATATTTGTATTATCAAACCTGATCTAATTTCCTTTTTTCTCCTTATATCACTCAAATATAACAGAAAGAAGCTGTTGGTACATGTACTACTATGACACATGAGCAAACCCAGCAGCTCGATGATCTAGTGAAGACCTGTGTCCCTATGCTGACATCAGCTGTCGAGTCCGTAAGTTTATCTTAGAGTATACATGGTAAATGTATCAGCACTTATTTAAAACAGACTAAATGCCTACAATACCGTTATTGTTTTCCAAAGTTTTTCTCTTTTTTTTGTAACTGCAAAAACTTATCTTTGAAACAAGATATTGTGCTTGAAAACAGAATCTGAGTTTGAACAGGAGTTATTTACTTGCAACTTCCGGTTAAAAAATGGTTACCTTTAACTAGTGTTTCAATTGCAACAGATAATTTATTTAACGAGTATTTCATGTATTTCAGATAATCTTTAAACCGTAAGTGCTTCAATGAAATAGTGCTTCAACCAAACAATTCTAAAAAAAAAATCCATTCAGGATTACAGCCAACCGCGACGACTGATATTTCATTAGTAACGTAAAACACTTTTGACGTAAAATAAGCACTATATATAAGTATGAATGATAAAAAATCATCAGCAGTAAAATCTTTCGTTGTTAGTAATTTTTGGTTTTGTTACCTTTCTTATAGAAATTTTTGACACTTATGGAAAAGCAGTTTGCACATGTAATCAAACTAGCAGGTGGATCGATTAAAAGCGACTCGCAAATGCCCCGATCAGATCAGATGCTTCTAACTCAAATGCATGCACCAGAAATGACTACTCGTACTGACGTCCAATCAACAACCCAGGACAATGCTGATTATGGTCGGAACCAACCTTCCACTTTAGAGGAGAGTGATCCTACCAAAAACAGAACACCAGCTGACGAGCAAGCGACATCCCAAACCGGCACTAGCCCTTCTGATCAAGAGCCAAATGACCACCTTGCCACCGAAAGCCACAGACAATTTAGCCATGGCCATTCAGATGATATGTCAGACCAAGGCAACCAACAGAACGAGAATACCTGGCACGATTCACACACAACGGATACCACAGGCTATGCCCGAATTTCGTCGCTCGAGAAAACAATCAAGTTCACCAAATGCTGTGTTAACCTCTGTTGGCTGATGCGAATCAAGAATCCTCCGTTACACATGGATACAGAACTTGTGGAAGATTCTGACATCAATACGGACTTTTACAAAAATTATACACACAAGGGGAAAAAAGTTGGTTACTTAGTGTGGCCAGCGCTATTTTTACACAAAGGTGGACCATTGCTGTGTAAGGGTATTGTTCAGCCTTTGTCGAAGAAGAAAGATAAAAACACATAGCCAGGTTATGATCCAATACAAATGGGAATATCAATGCTGTGACTTCGTTAAAAAAAATCTGTTACCTTATTTAACCTTTGATATCATTTTACATGTAGTCTGTGTTAATACATTGTCACACACAAAAAAACATTTAATGTAGAAGACGTACAAATGAAGAATGCAAATATTTTTTCCTTTTAATTTGTTTTATTGGTTCCCTTAAAATCTTCTTAAATGCTTTTTTAAACCAATTAAAAAATATGCCTATCCATATGCACATTATAATCGGTACCATGATGTAATTATTTTTTGAGATGATATTGTAGATGTTCTTTTTGGTTTTGCCGTTGAAATAAACGGCCTGCTTCTATCCTTTGTCCAACATTTTTGAATCACGAGTTATAATAAACAAAGATGTTTTGATTATTTCCATTCTACCACATGAAAATGAAAATGTTTGTACTTTCGAGCCTTATCTAGTGTTTAAAGGGCATCGTGACATGTGATATCAACACATTTCTATAGTATGTGCAAACAGATGAGTTGCCATTTCATCAACAAGCCATGCACAGATGATGCCAGTTAAACATAGTAATATGTGACTAGATATTTAGATATGCGCGTAATACAACACTCCATAACGCTAATTAGACAATGACTGGGAAGCTTTTTTAAGGCACACAACACGTTCATGGTTTGTTTGAAATTTACACGATTATTAACCAATGATCCGTAGATAATAAAATCACTTATTCTTTCACAAGCGTGCACGTAAATGTACTATGCAGTTCACCATATTTTGACTGAAGTGCAAACGTGAATTCGATAGCGTGACAATTGGTCAACTATACATGATACTGATATCTGCAAAAAGGTCTAAAATATTTTGAAATCCCTTCTAGGTACCTTACCGATGCTCTATTTAACACCTGAAATTAATGTAACCGATATAAGTATGTATGATAATGTAGGTACTGGCTATTGTTCCCATACGTTCATTTAAGAATAATTTGATAATGACACGTTGGATGTACAGTAATGAAAATTAATATATTGATCATCACTAAGAGGTTTTCCTTTGTGTATAGTAACCGTTGATATTCAGTATTTTATTTGAATTCCACGACATGGATATATTGACTTCAGCGGTTATGGAATACACTATTTGTTTATTATACAAATGTATAATTAGAGCATCTATAAGATTACCCTTTAAACTGTTTTTTGTAATTGATCTCTTTATTACATTTTTAACAGTGAAATATAAGACATTATATTGATGAAACAAACATATCTTTGGTTCTTACTTACCAGAAAGTAGCAGATGATGGTAGAATTGCATTGAGGAGACGATTCTAAATGTTAAACAGACTTGTTGTCAACTGTAGGGTCATTAGAACACTGCCTCAAATATTGCATTACTAATTCCCGCACGTGTTTGAGGCAGCAATTGTTGCATCGTGTTACTTAGAAATGTAATAATGTTCGCACACACACACAGTATCAGTGGTCAACGGTGCGGTCAGTGAAAATTCTGCCTTTGGCTAACGTTAGCCGAGGGGCTAATTGTTTTCAAAATATTGTTACTTATTCCTATTTTATTTTAATATTGATTTATGTAATGTTATTGTTTTGTGTTTTTTCTGTGTCTCGATAAAGGAGCGGATTGCTCCCAAAAGTTGACAACATCTTATTGTCTACACTGTAAGAATTACTTCCTTGTCCCATCAAAAATGTAATAGATAAAAAATGTATCAGTTTTCTTGATGACTAACACATACCTTACTCGTGATCAATACAAATGTATCAGTATCCTGTCATACTTGTGAAATATATATTATTCTTGACAGGAAACCGTGACATATCCTCTCTATTGTTGCAACATACAGAAATATGTTTGCTTCCTTGTTATAATTATACTTATGCTGTGATTTGTTTTGATTTGATTACATCTACTTATAAGCTTGTGGTAGTTGTTTTTGTATGCAAAGAACTATGAATTGTTCCTATGAGTATCACTCGAGGAGTAAACCTCGAACGTATGATGTCTGTAAATATGACTGACACAATATGTGTTACATGTACCTTCACACAGACCAGGGTAATTTTGCTTTTTTTTTAAATAACAATAATCAGATTATCTATGCTTAATTATATTCGGGGAAATATCATTAGCATACAATCGTTTGGTGTAGTAAATCTGTTTGATGCCACATGATGGAAAATGTTGGTTGATGTTGTGTTTTTGTTTTTATTTTATTCTATTTGTCGTGAAGGTTATTGTAATAATTTCGTGTGTAATTGAAATATGAAATGACTTATGCGAAATACGATACTAATAAATGTTGAAAAGAATTAAATCAAAACTTGATCAAACACTGTTGATTTCTTTATGTGCCGTACATGTAGTAATATATATATTGGCTGTCAGTATCATTGATTTCTTTATGTACTGTAGTAACATATATTGGCTGTCAGTATCATTGATTACTTTATGTACTGTAGTAATATATATATTGGCTGTCAGTATCATTGATTTCTTTATGTACTGTAGTAATGTATAGTGGCTGTCAGTATCATTGATTTCTTTATGTACTGTAGTAATATATATTGGCTGTCAGTATCATTGATTTCTTTATGTACTGTAATAATATATATTGGCTGTCAGTATCATTGATTTCTTTAGATACTGTAATAATATATGTTGGCTGTCAGGATCATTGATTTCTTTATGTACTGTAATAATATATGTTGGCTGTCAGTATCATTGATTTCTTTATGTACTGTAATAATATATATTGGCTGTCAGTATCATTGATTTCTTTATATACTATAGTAATATATATTGGCTGTCAGTATCATTGATTTCTTTATGTACCGTAGTAATATATATTGGCTGTCAGTATCATTGATTTCTTTATATACTGTAGTACATATATATTGGCTGTCAGTATCATTGATTTCTTTATATACTGTAGTACATATATATTGGCTGTCAGCATCATTGATTTCTTTATATTTACATTTGCATGGCATTGTCACTATAAAGCCTCTTTGAAAGCTGTGTCGTTGATGGGACTTTAATTACCATGAAGCACGAGACATATTTCTTAATACAACACTGACCGGAACTACAATAGCCAATGTAAATAAACATGACGGCTGCTTAAATATCGCTAGGCATTGTGAGATTTGACAATGTCATTGTAAATTTATGTGCAAAATAAAATAAAAAATATTTTTATTTCAACAAAAACAAGATCAAGGTCTGCAATATCGTACAAATTGCACATCGGTTGAAATCACCAATGCGGCGATGGAAACAATTTTAACGCCCTATAGCCATATCATACGCAATTGTATTTATACTGAATTGTGGAATAACATTGAAGTGTTTGTTAAAATTTCAAAGTACTACTTTGTTTGCCAATCAGCACGCGACAAACGCGCTGTTCAAACTATTGAACGAAATTTTGTGGACTGTCGATAAGGAGTGCATTTTAAGTTTTAAATATAAATTACGAGTTAAAAAAGAGCATTAGAGCCAGAGAAAACGTAAATATAAGTATTGAACTGTTTTTTTATGGTATTTATGATCTATTTGAATGACACAGCTTTGCAAGCAAACAACATAATGCGCGCTAATGCTTAAATGTACTGTAGTAATATATATTGGCTGTCAGTATCGTTGAAGTGTTTTTAACTGGTATGTGAAAGTGTATGATAATGTAAGTTATGATACACTGTATAAATAGTAGGTGATATTGAACATATAAACATTTGGTGCAAAACAATATATATTGCTTGATTTACAGTTTAAGGTAAGATACAAATACTATGTGGTGTTTTTACCTTTAAAGATGCGCGAATGGGGTTGAAAGGCCTTCCCACCCTTTGTAATTCACATGTTTTTCTTGTCGTATTTTCGTGCTGTCATTTCCGTATTGCTTATTTGCCACTTGCCGTAGTGTAAATTATAGTAACACAAAATAAAACATGTTCAGGTGCGTCAAGTAACGATGATATATCCGATATCGAGACTGCACTTGGAAATGTGTTATCACACGTAATAAAGTTTCTGAAACAAAGACATAAATCAAATTGACTCACGGTAACATACTGACATGAGCAACCGCATGAAACGTGGACTGGTGTGTTTTGTGTACTCACAAGTACATAGCACGTGCTTACAATAATTTACAAGCTCGAGGTCGTTACGATTTTTGCTGTCGAGCGTGTTTGTTTTGTTCAACTCTTTTACTCTTTTTGTATGAAACTATAACTACTGTTTGTCTTAAGCTTGTAGATGATCCCTCTTATCCATACAATTTCAATAAAAAAAACTGTTTTTGTAACGTGTTTAATATATTTGTGATAAATAAAATATTTTAAAGCTTCATTAGCAAGTTGTTGTTTTTCTTGGTGTTTTTTTTTTGGGGGGGGGGGGGGGTTCAGACAGAAACATACATATACATTTTATATAGTAATATCAGCATACACAAACATGCACACATATGCACACATATGCATACATACATACATACATACATACATACATACATACATACATACATACATACATACATACATGCATAGCATAGCATACACTGTTGGAATTACTTCTTTTCCCCATACATTGCATACATACATACATACATATGTACACACACACTAGGGGTGTCAAAATACGCCAAGAGTGTATGACGATACATTATATGTATATCGCAATACAGAATGAATATATTGTGATGCGTATCCCGATAAATTGTCAAAGGAAAGATGACCGGTTAACCTCAGTCTTGTTGAAAGGGAAGTGCGCTATCCACTGCGCCACCCGGCCGCCCACGGTAAAATCTACGAGTATTCGGGCTTACGTGTATTCACAAGGGATACGATGAACATTAGTCATAGAGCTAATTGATGACAGTTTACGATAAGCAGTGTTGACTTGTACAGATGTGAATGCCGTTGTCGTTGTTACCTCCCTTTTAACGTACGTTGATATCAGTTTTAAGAGAACACCCAAGGTTGATGGTCTAATTACTGATTCTTTGTTCTTTATATCGAAGTGATGTGTCAGACTAGAGTCAGGACTTTATGACAAAATAAAGCGGCATTCATTATGACGTGAATGAGAACATTCAGACAAAAATATAACAGATGTACATGACATGTAGTTATTACATCATTGGAAACCTTCAGAAAACATCCAGCGACTGTACATCTAGTTATTGTGAAACACGCGGAACCTTAGGATTACAACAAAATAAACTGACTGTAATTAAGATACAAGTGAAATATAAGATTCAGACCAAACATGGCAACTGTAATTAATGACGTGGATGATCTATCCGACTAATATGGCAGCGGTAAGTTTCACTCGAGTGTATCTTCCCACAAAGAACAAAACATAGTTATTTGTCTGTTGGTTAAGATATAGAACACTAGTATTATGAAAACAAATGCCTTGCGTCTATTTCGTGAAATATAAGTTGTAGAATATTCCAACGTAATTCATTAATCCTACTTCTATTACATGTATAAAGTAGAGATTAATATCAATGTCTTTGTTATTTCATTGCTTCCATTTTCTAATTCATATCCTTACAAAAGGTGTATTGAATTTCAACAGCAAAAACAATATTACCGCCCAGCAGTGGGCCACACATCTGTTTGACAACTTTGAATACATTTGTAAAAGAATGTATCAAAATGTCAACTACGGGAGATTGTTCAATATGTACAGGCTACAACAAACAGGGTGATGTTTCGTCAGAATACTGCCCCTACGTGTTTGGTGTTCGTTTTTATGACATAACTGTGTAAGTGTTTGTTGATTAAATCAGTTCTGAAGCCATATATCAGTCTGAGCGGTGATGATACCATCTTAGTCAAAAGTGTACACAACTCCTTCAGCACCGATACGTGTTTGTCGGTCTGAAACTGAACACTATCGCCAAAGTCTAGTGACCTAGGGTCCGTCATCTTTCTCCCTTTTCACGCGCGTGCCGTCCCGTGTGATATTTATATCACTATTAGATCTCAAATAAAGCACCAATAAACTTCAGTATCCAAGTATAATATCTCTTTTACACTGTAAGGTCTCTCATAATACGCCTCAAACAGAATTCCATAAATGTTGATTGATAACGTGTCTGTAAATAACACAGATATACTAAATTAATTACAAAAACTGTATATATTGATGTTCTGTTCAACCGAATGCAACACTGAACATTATTTGTCTTGCGTCATTGATAGGCTTATTTATAATTAACAGACGTGATAACCGTCTGTATCTTGTTTCACATTTTCACCTCGCGTCCAGCAAAACCTCAATTTTTGACCTAAAACTCGCAGTTTGCATTTTCATGCAGGAAACTTTGAAAATACTGAGGGTAATACCTGTTTCAATTCTCAGGTGAAATTCGTAGACAAGCTGAGGTACAGCTATGAGCTTGGTTCCACCGAGCAAACATTCCCGAACACTTGCGTGAAGAATCAACTTACCACTAATTGGTAAATGGATTCTTTTGCTGGGTAGGAGACCATCAAAATGTCGCTTAATCAAAGAAAAAGCACGAATTAACAATTCGGTTTATTATTAAGTTACTGTTATACAATTTCTAACAGAAAATTCCAGTATATTATCTAAATGTTTCGTATTTACATTACCTGTTAATATACCTCCTATTTCATAGGCATTGACAATAGAGTAGTGTCCGACACACACCATTTGTAACAATGGGGGGTGCTCGCCGGAATAAATATCTGTCTACGTGTTTCAAAGAAGTGTTCACTTAACGGTGGCTTTGATAAGTGTGTTTGAAGTTACTTGACTATCATTCTTGTTTGGATATGTCGATGTGATCATTGCAGTAATCATGTAGATAGTGAATTGGATATTCCGGTTTCCTACCCGACAGCCAACTTTCAAAGTAAAAGGTCCCGGCGTCTTTGAATATATATAATATTATTAGACAGAAAAAACGCAGGTATTGTTTACCTTTAATTAACAATTCAGAAATATAGTTAATTGATTGATATAATTACAGCTGACCTTGATCCTTATACCAGGAACTATAAGCCATACATGTCATCCTGTTTAAAACAAAG